CTTTTGAGGACCGAGCTTTACCTTGTTGGCCCAGGGTAGTCATATTGTTCAAATTGCTTTATGTAGGGCACAAAAACTTTATGCGTTTTCACCAGGGTGAATCTGGAGAACTTATAGGCTTTAGTGGTGGGTGCCTCAATAAAGCATTCCGGTAAAGCTGAAATTAGAAGAATGCGGGGAAGAAACAAACGGAAATCGCTATGCGTTAACATGGTGACTTCCGTTTTCTTGTTCCGCGCATTCTTCTGCATTTCAGCTTTACCGGAATGCTTTATTGGTGCATCAAGATCTGGTTAAAGTCTGTTTGCCCAGCAAGGGGTATACCCAGCCAAAAACATCGATTCGACGTCTATTTTGAGGACAAATATCCAACGAATCGAGTATAGATCTTGATATCGAAACGAAGTTTGACACCTTTTTTTTGGCTGGGATATGTATTGCCAATTGACATATTTATCGGCTCACCGATAACTGGCATTACTGTTCGCAGCAAAGCGAGTATAGCAGGGTAATTGATATCTTGTCGGTCGGTGCTCCAATTGGTGTTCTGCATTGTGTAATAGTAGATTCCCTACGTGCACCAACTAATTATTGGAAAGAACAATAGCTGATATAGTTGTTTAAAATTTTGGTGAACTGTTGGTGCTCCAAATAGTGTAAAGATCTCCTTTGTAACTTTCCGTGGTACAGATCCACAACTAACACTGACCTTTTTTTCTTGAACAGGTCATATTTTTGTTCGTTTTGTGCAAGTAGAGACCAAGAAGTCCATTTTATATTTCCTGAAAGTTCCTTTTCATAAACGTAAGTGTATCCACATGCAGACTTTGGATACAAAGTAAGTGCTAGAGGTGTTCTTTCAAAAGCGACATTTATAACTTTAAAAACATACATTTCAGGAGACTATGAATCCCCTTAATATTGCTGTGTTGTTAACACAATCGTACGTTGATTGTCAGCCTTCTCCCACTACTCTGCAAGAAGAGGATTTCGCACACAGCCTGAAAGGTAAATAAAAAACTGCGTATCCGATTTCGTTAGCGGAAATGTTTGATATGATTACGACTCATTTTTACCGTGACTTTTTCGTAGCAAGGGCCGTGATGCAGTGATCGGTTGTCGGTGTTATATTGAGCGACGTAGTGCGAGCGATGTGCGTTCTAGTGTAAACGCTAGCAATTCCAGGTTGATCTCGGCGTTTCGCTTCTACTTCGCCGGGCATCCGGGTATACGTGGCTCGCCGGCCTCGTTCGTTTTGTCGTTCAACATGGGCACGCGTTAGCACGGGGGCCGGGAACCTTTCCAGTGCCACGCTTTCGCGAGGATTTTAACTGATAGTGATTCTTTCAAGAGCATGATAGAAAAACCACAGGCAGCGCCGCTATGGTAATGGCATTAAAATGCGTCATATAGGTAACAAATTGTATACGAATGCAATTTGCATTGCTGCGCAAACTTTTACCGCGCCTTTCAAGCTTACAGAAATGCACACAACAGTCGACACATTGGTGACGCATTAAATGCGTCTTAAATACTGTAATGCGCTTTCAAAGCGTCACCAATAATGTGTCACCTTTTATGTGCATTTCAATGCGCACTGAAGCACATTTAACGCGTTTGGCACTTGTACCCCAGTAGCACTTCTACCCCAGTAGCGCCAACCGCATTAAATGCTCTTCAATGCGCATTGAAATGCACATAAAAGGTGACACATTGGTGACGCCTTTAAAGCGCATTTAGTGCACTCTACGCGAATTTTATGCGTCACCGATGTGTCACCTTTTATGTGCATTTCAATACGCATTGAAGCGCATTTCATGCAGTAGCGCTTCTGGGGTAGGAAAGCAGGGACAAGTTTCGTGAGTCGCTTGACTGCACTTTTCGATTAGCAATGACATTGTGAGCTCATATGTAAAATCTATGATCGCTTTATTCTGTCAACGCAGAAATTATTCAGCAAGCTATTGAGTCTGGTTCAACTTACATTGAGAAGGTGCATGACCTAGTTATTGACTACGATGACATGTCTCCCCAAGCAATTTATGACCCAGAAGTAGATGACACTGACTTTCAATTGGACCCAAATGATAGAGACAGCCTTGTAGACGGGATATCCTTCAAATACAAACAAGATGCTGTCGCTTATTGGAGAAATGATGGGAAGAAAAGAAAATTTTCATCAGTTAAAAACAGGTTTTCCAAGTTGTCCCAGGTAAAGCGACTTCTTTCGTACCGGCTCGCGAACTAGAAAAACACGCATTATGCATGATCTGTCTAGCATGAAACCGCAGTCTAAATATGTCGAGGCTGCTTTGCTTGCCCAAATATTTGCACTTTTTTTAGAATGTTGGAATTCATTTTAGCATTGCAGGATGCATTTTACATCTTGCAAATGATAAATTTGCATCATATTACAGTAAAATTTTTATTTTTGTCCTCCGATAAGACGCGAATCTGTCATTTGCAAGATGTAAAAATGCACCCTGTCAAGATGTGCTTAAAAAAGCATCTTGCTGTGGACAAAGAAAGTCCATAGGAATTGTGAGTAGTAATTTTGATTTTGTTAAGATTTTAATGTAGATCACTTTTAAACAGCTCTAACATTCAATTAAGATAGTTAAGAACTGAATGTTGACAGTTGTTTTAATTTGATGTAGTTTTCATCAAATTTACCCTAATTTTCCTTGAGAGAATATTTATGATCTTTTATTAACTGCCAAACATGAATTGTCGCTATTTAGGAATCACTGTTATATCGTTGGGAGAAACAAATTAACGATCATGGAACCTATAGGGATAAACTAAAAACTATATGTTCGCACACGTATGAGCAATATACCCAGGCCAAAAATAATCATAAAATTGTTCACGACGTTGACTTGAAGCGATGGGCTTTAAAGAAAGCAAGAGATCTACAATGCAATCAATTCAAAGCTTCAGATTCATGGGTGTACAATTTTAAGAAGCACCACAGAATTGTGAGTCGCAAAATAACTAAATTTGTCTCTAAAAAAGAAGTTAGGGACAGAGAAGCAATAAAAGACCTGGCTCTCGACTTCGTCATCAATGCAATTCCACTTGTTGAAGAATACGGGCCAGACCGTATTGTTAACACCGACCAAAGTGGTTTTCAGTTAGAGATTCACGCTGGTCGCACTCTTGCAGATAAAGGCTCACGAAAAGTTGAAATAATTGCTCAAAAGAAGAATGCGTTAACGCACAGCTATACAATAATGCCCGCTATGACAGCGTCAGGGAAGCTTATAGAACCGCTTTATATA